ACTCCTCTTGATATTATTGGTCAAATTGAATTGGAAATTAAAATTAACTATATTAAAACTTATATCATTGCTTATGTCGCAACAAATTTAATTACACCAATTCTTTTAGGCAATGACTGGATTAATTTTAATCATGTTCACCCCTTTGGCGACCAGAAACACTTAACAATTCCTGATCAACATGGTCAATTAACTCGAATTCCATACACTGAATCGTCTTCCATCAATTATCCCGCTCTATTAGTTAATAAAATTACCCTTCCTCCACATTCACAAACACTGGTTGACATTACTTCTCAAGTTACTAATGCCAACAATTTAATATTTGAACCATATGATCGCTATATCTCAAAATTTATTTTCATACCGCATACATTATTAAATGTTAATAATCATCAAGCAAAAATTTTATTAATAAATGCTCAAAATCGTCAACAAACATTACCAAAGAATACACGCATCGGAACTCTATCATATGACACAACATTGTCCATATGTACTACAATACAAAACTCGACAAAACCGGAACCACCGTCGAATTTTCAATCATCCCGAAAACACAAAATTCCTAAAATAAGAGCTATCTCATATGATAAAGATAACTCGAATCAAACTCTCCGAGATAATCGTTGTCATCAATGTGATGAATATTTTCTATCTGGAAATGACTTACAAAAACATTTACGTGCACAATGTTATTCAGATCAGATTCGAAAACAAATAATCGAATCGACTGCTCATATAGGAAATCCAAAACATCGAGAAGCAATTCAAGATATATTATGGCGAAATAAAATATTATTTGATCCGACACCATCAATTATTAATATTCCACCGCAATCGGCAATTAGAACTGGTGATCATCCACCTATTTATTCGAAACAATATTCAGCTTCGTATAAAGATCAAGAAATTAAATTTCAAGAAACACAGAAATTATTAGAACGTGGTCAAATTGAAGAATCAACATCTCCATGGTCATCACCTATCGTTCTCGTCAAGAAGAAAGACAAAACCATGCGATTTTGCATTGATTATCGTCGATTAAATGCCATCACGATTAAAGATGCATTTTCACTACCACGAATTGATGAAATATTCGATCAATTATCTGATGCAACGTATTACACAAAATTTGATTTTAAATCAGGATATTTCCAGGTTCCTCTATCGAAAGAGGACCGACCAAAAACTGCTTTCTCAACCCGAGACAATCATTATCAATTTACAGTTCTTCCACAAGGAATAACGAATGGTCCAGCTACATTTCAACGTGTTATTAATCACATATTAGGTCCTGCACGATGGAAATATGCATTAGCATATATTGATGATGTAATTATTTACTCCAAGACATTCGAAGAACATTTGTCTCATCTCAAGGAAATTTGTCAAATATTAAAAAACGCTCGTTTTCGTCTCAATCCAGATAAATGCGAAATTGCTCGTACGCAAACAGAATATCTTGGACATCATATCCAAAATGGTGAAATTCGTCCAAGTCCACACAACATACAAGGTTTATTAAATACAAATTTACCACACACAGCAGATGAAGCTTGTAAATTTGTTAAAGCAGCAGAATATTATAGAAAATTCATACCAAATTTTTCACAAATTGCCGAACCACTTAGGAAATTCGTACCAACTACCAGAACGCAACAGAAAAAAGGACAAAAAACGTTAATTAAATTAACAGATGAAGAAATTAAAGCATTTGAACAACTCAAACATTTTCTTACAACTGATTTAGTTTTACGTCTACCAAATAATAGATTCCCTTTTAAAGTTCAAACAGATGCTTCTGATGAGGGAATCGGTGCTGTTTTATTACAAACTTATCCTGATGGAGATAGACCTGTAGCTTATCTTTCTAAGAAATTTACTCCAGCACAGCGTAAATGGTCTCCTATGGAACAAGAATGTTATGCTTTTATTTGTGCTTTAGACAAATGGCATAATTATTTAAGTGGAATTAAATTCACTTGGGAAACTGACCATAAGGCATTAACACAACTAAATCAAAAAGCACAACTTAATAAACGATGTGAAAGATGGAGATTAAAAATCTTAGAATATGACTTCAAGGTGAAATATATCCCAGGTTCAACTAACTCGATGCCTGATTATTTATCAAGATCTCCAGTCGATGATGCCGAAGAAGATCCTGATGAAATTTCACTTCTTATTTCGAAATCCACACAAACCGATTTCTCAGATATAAAAAACCAATCATCTATCGTCGCAACTGTTCAAACTCGTGCGATGAAATTACGACATCAAGCTTTAAATGATCCGAACGATGGCACAAAATCAGCACAAGATTCTCTAACTTCTTCATCCGCCAATCAAACATTAAATAATTCAATGAAAGAGAATCGAATAATTCCATTTTCTATTGAAGAATTAATTCAAGCTCAACAAAATGATAATTATGCAAAAAATAT